AAACCCTGTACTCCATGAGCAAAGCAGAATCACAGTAGTACAAAGGAAATGTGAGCAGAACAAATCTAGAGACGTCTCCATCCCAAATGTTCTACTGGACCACTTGTGCCTGACCTACGTAGAGCCTTCCAAACTGATCAGCCACAGTCCAGCACATTGTACCTTGACCCCAACATTGTGATGTCATTGGTCCTCTTCAAAAACCAAGGACAAACAACTGCTAAAACTATGAAATGCCTTCTATCCCCTCAATGAATGAGTTTTCCAGAGATTTGTTCCCCCTATTGTGGGATGAGAACTTAATCCTTGGAGTAGTTTTGGACATTGTTTCTCCATCTGTTTGCAGATTGTTTGGATATTGATGAAATTTTTTTTATTATAAAAATTCATGTTCCTTGTACTGGTCTCCTACTAACTGTCTATGACTAAGTTTAGATGATCTTGGAGGTTCTCAGTCTATCTGTGATTGAGGATTAAGCAAATTAACATGTACTTATCCATATTATCTCTACATTGAACCCAATAACTATGGAGAATTCGGAGTAAGTGGAAAATAGATTCTATTCTGTGACCCAGTGATTGAATTATCGAATAATGTCAGTCTGAAAAATTGATTTAATTCATTATTAACACTGTATAGAAAGAAGCTATGACTTCTCCCAGGTCAACCTATTCTTCATTCTACTGATAAGATCAGGGCAATCTTAATTTTTCCATCTAATATCACTTCCCTGATCTGTTACCTTCCCCCAACTATTTACTGAATAAAGTACAACTCTTTTAGCCTAACGTAAATGGAAAAAAAGAAACAAAACATGCTTTCTACAATCTGGTTTCAAACTGTTTTTCTGAGCTCATCTCATGCTACTACTCCTATAATTGATGTTCCATTTAAAGTGGAACACACATCAGCCTCCATTTAATTTCTGTCCTCTGCTATCTTCATGTATTTGCTTATGTCATACCCCATACCTGAAATGGACTCTTTCCATCACTCCTTCTCCACTTGTTAAATCCTTCTCTGCCTTTACGAACAAACTCAATTCCCACTTCCTCCAGGAGCCCTGCCTTACTTGATTCCCCACCTGGAACTGATCTCTCCCTCTTCAAGTCTCTTCTAGTACTTTGTATGGCTCTCTCATTTGCATTTGTTTTCTAATTCATATGTGTTCATGCATTATCTCCCTTTAAAGAGTACTGGATTCAAGGTTGGAAGTCCTGAGTTCAAATCTGCCCTCTGACACTTATGAATTATATGACTCTGGGCTATTAAGTCACTAGTCTGAGTATCATCTCCTATAAAATATGGATAATAATGTTTGCACCATCTAATTCACAAAGTTGTCATGAGACAAACTCTTCAATAACCTTAAAGCCCACTGTGTAAATGAATATTATCTTCGTCATTACATTATTATTAATAAGAGAATATAAGCTCCTTGAAGGCAGTGTCTGTATAGTTTTTCATTTTCTGTACCCCCAGGGCCTAACGTGATGGCTTATACATGGTGGGTATTTAACAAATGTTTGTCGGACTGAACTAAATTATTTTTAATACAGATATTTAGGCTCTTAGGTTTTGATCAACTTTTACCAGGAGACAAATTATGATCAAGGCCACTCTATTGGCAACTTCTAAATAACTGCTAAATTGAGGCTTTACCCTTGATAGAAGACATCGTGGAGTTTCTCTTTTAAGCTCTTCTACATTTGTGAAAAAGTGAGAATACAAGGCTCATATTAAGGTACATGAAAGCTGCTTTCTGACGAGGCAGGAGGGGGCTTTTTAATACTTTATAAATGTTTTCCATTATCCTAAAGGGATTGCTTTGTCAGCTCTGCTTAGAATGATCCCCCTTCAGCAATCTACTGGCCTGTACCACTCCTCATGGCACAAACATGACAGAGTACATTTATGGGCTCAGGTCTGGGCTTTTGCCGGGAAGCAGAGATTGCCAATTGTACTGCACCATACTTAATTAAGTAGTAGTTTTATGAGGTGGACGGCAATACACCAGGGGCTGACACAAGGCTGGGAGATTTATTGAGCTCTAACTGCAAACAGACAGTCCAGCAGTATGTGCACACACACACACAAATGGCATTACAAGAAAGCTAAAGTTGTGAAAGTGTTCTGTAAAAGCAAAGCTGGGGAGCCAAGCCCTGATCCAGAAATGCTGAAGGAAGGATCCCCACATTTCACTCTAACAGGTCAACTAAGAGCCACAGATGAACAGTCTCTGCAAGGGGATGGTAGACAGCAGCAGAGAAGGAAGTATGGAATATGGCCTGCCCGTCTTAGGAGAGGGGAGGGCAGAAACTGGTAAGCATTTAGAGAGCTCTTAACTATTAAAACCTGAACCTCACCTTGAATACTAATGGACTCCACAAATTCGCTTTCAAATAATAGAATACATTATATGGTATAAATATATAGATATATATTAGACATAGAACAATATTATTCCATATCTAGAATAACAGAACATATTATATTCATAATAGGATATATTATATTCCATTATAATATGTTCTATTATGAATATAATATATTCTATTCTATATTATATTCATAACACAGGACAGATTCTTATTAACCCTTTGAAGTACAATACTATCTGCCTTGTCATCCCCTGTCTTATAACCAACTCTTGGTTATCCAGGAGTCCTTCCCAGTGCTCCAGATTCTTGACTGTGCCACCTAATAGCTGTGTGATCATAGGTAAATCAATTCACTTCTTTGAGGCTGTTTTCTCTATAGAATTGGGATGGTAGTTACCTGACTACCTACCCCAAAGAGTTATTATGAGCAAAGTGCTTTGTAAACTTCATAAAATGATATAGAAATGTAGTTACTATTATAGTTTATCATGAAAAAATAATCTCTTCATTCAAGGGAGTAAGTTCTGAGACAAGTCACTATTATTATTAAAGAAGTCATATATGCGATTAATTCAGAAAAGCACATAATTAAAAAACTGTCCATGTTTGTGTTGAGTTATTTTAATATTAGCACATCTGATTATGTGGAAAATTCACAATATTTCAGACAAAAATAATACAGCTAAATTGTGAAGACATAAGTTAGGAAGAACTGGGAAGCTGTCCAATTTCCCCATCCTCTTTCCCTGCTCAGGCTCTTCCCCCAGACCAAAGACAAGCTATCTATGCACAAGGATTAAAAATTGCATGTCCCCCTGCCTGCTGTGTTTGAAAGTTGAATCCATTTTGTGTTACTGTCCACCAGGGGCTTTAAGTCTTTGGTGTAGCATATGCAACTCAACTGGTTACAAAATTAATAACTTTGTCCCATAAAAAAAAACAATTTTCTGACATCAAAAATATATGCATCTTTAAATTCTTAAGAGTGTCCCTTAGCCTAATCTCTCTACCCCGACACATACCGTACTGAAGTGGGGTCCTACCCTGCCTACCCCTAGTTCTAGCTTTGTTCTCCCCCAATTTCATGCTGTGACAAGACAGCTCCTCTCAGACTCACACAAAGCCTGACCAGAGGTGTGCTCTCTCAACTCCCTACTTACTTCATACTTTTTCCGGATGGACAGGAGACAATGAACAGAAAAAGGGCTTAGGTTTATTTCTTTTAAAGTCTTTCTCTGGTGTCTGAGTCAAGGTGCAAGGAAAGAATGAATTCCTATTGCTGAACTAGCACAGAATAGATACTTACCTTCCACTTACTGCCAGACAGATGGGTGGTACAGAGTGTAGAGTGCTGGGCCTGGAGTCAGGAAGACCTGAGTTCAAATGTGACCTCAGACATTTACTGGCTGTGTGACCTTATACAAGTCACTTAACGCTCTTTGCCTCAGTTTCTTCATCTATCAAATGAATTGGAAAAGGAAAGGCAAACCACTCCAGTATCCTTGCCAAGAAACCCCCAAATGGGGTCACAAAGGGTCAGACCCACTAAACAACAACAGTCACTTACTGGCAATAAGAGATAGATGACACCAAGCAGATAACTATGTAAAGACAGATCTTGTGGTATTTGAAGATAACCAATATGCAATAAATATTTGTTAATTGGTTGACAGCTACACCTCCTTCCTTCCCTTTCAGCTCCTGTTGTCCTCTGTGGATAAGTCAACAAATGAGATAAGAAAGGAAACAGAAATGAGTGCGGTTACCCAGTTCAGCGTTCTCCAGATGATGAGGAATGGAGTGTATGCAATTGATTCGCACTCATTTCTATTCTAAAAGTCTTTTCATTGAAACAACCAACGTTATTCCATTTGAGGGTGAATGTGTTGTTGGTTTTGGTGTTAGTGTTGTTTTAAGTTTCCAGATGACTGGAAACAAGATGAGTTTCATGACATCAGTCATCCCTGTCTCCTTATTTCCCTTTCACCTGGAAAGTGACCCCTGGAAGGACTAGCAGGAAAGGTTAAAGGATGAGGATTCCATTTTTCTTCTTCTGTTATTGCCCCCATCCATGCTGTGGTGGTGGCACAGTCAACAACTTCCAACCTATCCTGTGCCCTGATTCTCCCTTCGAAGCCTCTCCTACCTCTAGGGCATTCCAATTACCCTGCACAGAGAGCTATGTCAGATCAACCTTGTGGTATTTAAAGATAACTTCTATTGATCAGAGCAGTGAAGTTCACTCCTACCCTTAAGTAGAAGATAAAATTTGAAGACTCTTCTACCCTGTTTCTGTTTTATGCTGATGACAGGAGACTTTCTGTTTCCTCCCTTGATACATTCCAGCCTGGAAGCCAAGGACCTAAAGTTCATTCAATCCATAAAGCAGGAATTGCCCAGAGGACATCATTTTCACAGGGCCGTTATCTCATGATTTTTGTTTGGGTGGAGTTAGGGGCGGGGGTGGGGGAATGAGCTGAAGAAGAGAAAAAGGAGGAAATGTTCTCCCTAAGCTGCACAAATGCACAGCTGGCTGCCTATGACTTCAAAGTGCTTCCTAGACCAATCCAATATCTTTCTTTTGCTCCATATGCAGCTAAAGCTAAATCTGCTTTAATCATTCACACAAATGGTTTATCTGTGGAGATGAAGGTTTATTAGTAAGCAGTTGCAAAAAAAATAGTAAACTTATTGGGGGACAATGTCTTTTTTGTGGCTATGTGTAAAAAGTATTCCTCTATGGCATACTGATGGTGACAGGATACAGGAATATTAATCTTCCCCTCATCTTCCTCCTCCCAACCCATCAAAGAGAAATTGGACCAGTGGACAGAGCTCATAGTCAGGAGATTCCTGTAAAGGGGTTATTTCAGCTCAGCAAAAGAGGACTTAGAGACATCCCTCGGGCCAGAAATGGGAGCTTACTGGAAGCTTACATTTTGAAAAGAAAATGTAGACAAATCTTGGTTATTGATGGAATTGTTATGACATAGGCGGGCTCCAAGCGTGATGGCAATGGCTATTGACACACCATGACTGCTAAGAGGACATGGTCCAGAGAGCCAAACTACAGGAAAAGATTGTGCTGTTTACCAGTTTTGCTTACCAACTGCCTAATGAACATATTTTAGGCAAATGGATCCAGACAGAAAGAAACAGTTTATGAGTAAAGGATGGATTTCCAGAGGCCCAGAGTCATAGAGGTCTCCAAGAAAGATGTGACTGCAAGGCCAGTCCAGGGGGGAAATGGGAGAGAAGTATGTTGGCCAATGGGAAAGTGCTTTCTTAAGCAGAAATTCTTCAGATAAGGTTGAGGTAAGGGTTGAGAGTGCCTCTCCTGGGAGAGAGTTCTTTTATATAAATATAATACCAAGTCTGACTTAGAACTTAAGGGTTCATTGAAACAATTGTTTTAGCAAGCAGAAATACAAGAGAATATAGCTTTCCTCAGTCTTCCACAAAGACTAGCTCAATGACTCCCACCCAGTATGCGGCAGACAAATGCAACTCCAAAGAAAGTTCTGTAAGAATCTGAAAGCTCCAAGTCCAACATGCAGGTTGGTGCCTTTAAACGTCTCACTCCAAAGGGCCCACTCTGGGTTTCAAGTGAATGGAAAAGGTAAGTAATTCAAGTTGGCTACTTATGGCCTATGTCATAGCATCCTGAACCCCAACAGTGCCCAATGAGCCTTACGAGCTACGCCTTAAAGCCCGTCTGTGGCCACTATTACCTTAGGATGAGAACTCTGTGCTCTGTAAACATGTTCATTTAATAATAGTTCTCATTCTACATGATGTCTACAACCATGTAAATTGAAATAATAACCATCACAAAACAACTGACAATGAATATTACAAAATTATGAAAAATAAGCTTGGCTTGAAAGCAGAGATATGAGAAGATACTTTCCCCTGATCCTTTGTAGAAGTGTGAAACATTGTATATAACGTAAGATTTTTTGGATATGTTGATTAGTGGCTGGATTTTTTTTTCTTTTCTTCCTCTTTTTTTCTTTCAAAAAAGGTCTTCATTATAAAGGAGGTTTCCCTGGAAGTGAAGAGGGGAAATGATACAGGAGGAAATCTAGAAAATGAAAACAAAACAAAACAAAACATATCAATAAAATCTATTTGTTAAAAAAATAAACTAGTTCACATTTACATAGTTCCATACATTTATATATGCACCCTAACCAGCTTACCTACCCATGATTCCAGCTTTGTTTTCTCCTGCTCTGTGGACAGATAGACAATATCACTGTTCAGATGACTACAAAACCCCAGGCTCACCATGGTTATCCTCTCCCAAACTTCTTTGGCCCACACTTTACCTGCATCATCAGCAGGTAGCGAACATTGACAGGACCTAGGTTTCTTTGTTAAAAGCCTTTTTCTGGCGGTTGAGTCAATGTGCGAGCAGAGAAGGCAGTTTCAGTTACTAAATTAGGACATTATAAGTATTTACTACCACTTATTAGTACATAATGCATTATACCACTCAGACAACTATTAGAAAAACACTTTTCTCACAACATCCCTGTAAGGTGGATGGTATTTCATTGATTCATTCAACAAGCACGTAATAAGCTCTATGTTATATGCTAGAGAAATAATGAAAAAATTTTTAAGTGCCTGCCCTCAAGGAGTTTATATTCTATTGGAAAGAAACATGAAAATAGATAAGCAAATTCAAAATATATGCAAAGCATATATGTGTGTTTAAGTGCTTACATGTGAGATCATAATGAGATCATAGGATATAAAGCTGGAAGAGACCTCAGAGGTCCTCTAGCTGAACCTTCTAATTGTATGGAGGAAGAAACTAAAGCCCCAGGAAGATGATCAATTACTCGAGGTGATTGAGTCAGAAAGTAAGAGTCAGGATTTGAATCAAGGTTCACTAACTCCCAATCCAGTCCTCTTTCCAGTATATCATTCTGCCTCAATATGGTAAATCTAATTCACACAAATTGTAATGTCATCAGTCCTCTTCGAGAATGAAGGATGAACACCACCACCAGCAATACCCGCAGTTTTTTACTATGATGATATTAACACAAAACTTTGTACTCAGTGGGCAGATATGGCAGTGCTGTTCATTTCTTGCTGGAGCGTGTCAGCTATTTTCCTCTCCATTCTACTCTTTCCCTTTAACTTCTAGAGCAACCTGGGAGAGGTGAGCAGGTGTTGGCTGGAACTTCAATTGCTGCCATTAAGGATGGGGGTGGGGGGAACTCAGATGCTGATTCAGCACCTAGCCCTCCTCAGAGGAGGGTAATCCCCTTTTATCTCCCTCAGTTCAATTGTTCATTTTCCCCTCTTATGATCTCCACTAAAGCGAAAGCCCTGTCTCTGAATCTCCTATGGAGACAGCTGGGTAGAACAGTGAATAGAGTACTGGGCCTGGAATCCAAAAGACTTGAGTTCACATCCTGCCTCAGGCATATACAAGCTGTGTGTTCAGGCACTCAATAAATGTGTATTTCTCCCTTCCTCCCACCCTCTCTCCTTTCCTGCCTTCCTTCTTTCCTTCCTTTTGAATTTTCTGATTGGCAACCAGTTCACTCTATTTTCTCAAGACCTGGGATCCAAGTTGCCCCTGGTAACTGACTAATTACAGTTTTCCTTTATCCCATTTTTCCTGATTACACTTGTTTTCCTTCAATTCAGATTCTATCTCCTCTACCTGATAAGGGTTACCCTCCACCCCTCCTTCCATCTCTCCCTCCCCCAAACATACCTGAGGTTTTCTTCCTAATTACTGGCATATGTCAGTCCTTACTTTTTTTCCCCTTCCTTTCAGCCACCTGCCTCTTGGGCATTTCAAGAGAGCATCTCCCCTGGAGGATGGTGTGTGTGTGTGTAAAGAGACATTAACAGAAAACTCCGAACCTATTTTGAAGAGGAGTCTGCTCTCATATACCAGAGAAAACTGCATCTGTGGTCTGCATGATTTGTTGCTCATTTAGCATGGTCATCTGTTCACAACCTAAAAGAATTAGAAGGCTCATTAGGGAAGGAAAAAGAAATATTGCTCCATTTTCCCGCTGGGTCCTTTTTCTCCTTCCCCTACCCACTCTACACTCATCAAACCACCAGCTTTCCTACAGAATCACAAGAATGTTGCGTGCTTCAGCCCAACCATGAAGTTCTTTAAGCAGGGCTGGTGATAGAAGCAGGACTTTGATGTTCCAGGTAGTGTTACCTTGGAATCTAGGCTTCTACACAAAGAATGGAAATTTCCTGGACAATGCCAGCCCTGGGAGTTACCTCGTGAATAATCCCAAATTCCAGTCTTCCCAACTTTGTGGGATTTCCTGAGATGCATGGCCTCTCAGAAAAAGAAAAACAACCATGTAGTTCCTGGGTAGTATCTTTTTTTTTTTTTGAAAAGCAAAGCCACAGCAATAGTGGAGGGTGGGATAAGAGACCCAGACTTTGCCCATCATCACCACCACCACCCCTGAGTATTACAATGCAGGCCCAATGGTAAAGGGATTTGTTTGTTCAACCGACCTCAAAATATATGCTTTCTTTCCAGGTAATTATGTGCAAGGGGGCAGGAATCTCTGTAGGACCATATGGTAAAGAGAGATTCTTCACAATGGCAACCTCGAGCTCAGTTCCTTTCCAAGAGGGGTCTATGGGGTATATGTGTTTTCTGTATCCACTTATGAGCTTCCTTGAGTTCCTCAAGAATTATACAGTTTTGTGGGGGTGAAATAAAGGTTAGCCCATGCCAAAGTTTTATTTGTTACCTTGAGTGTTTGTTCAGAAGCTAGGAACCCCTTTACCCACATTTGGGAAAGCCTAAACATGAGACATGCCTAAGCTTCATTTTGGAGATTTCCCCAGATTAAACTCTGGGGTCAAAGCACAATGGGAAAAAAAAAAAGATGTCAGCTCTCAAGATATACTCTGTGTGAGCCTAGAGCTTTGAGAATGAAGGGGAAGGGTTGTGTGGCTGAGTGGGTTGAATTTATATTAGAAAAAATTAATGAGAAACTATTTGAGATGCTCATGTATTGAACTTTTTTAAACAAGCATTTATTAAGTGACTACTATATACCAACATCATCTCATTTGATCCTCTCAACAATGCTGGAAGGTAAGTGTTATTATTAGCCACATTTTACACTTGAGGAAATTGAGGTAGACAGTAGTAAGTGGGTCTAATATATGATATCTCTGAGTATTGAATGTCCAACAGATGGGCAATTAATGCTGGTAAATCAATTATTGCTTATTAGAACATCCTTCATTCCACAAGGGAGGAGTCTGAAATGTTCCTATGACCAAGGTTCCATATGGACTCCATAAGACTATGAGTGCTCAACAATTCCATGGCCAACAAAAAAACTCCCCTAAGATACGACCCTGTTGCAAAAGTTCAGAAACAGGGTTCCCTACCAAGATGAGAAGCCTCAGCCTCCCAGCTGGCCGTCCATCATTAGCCTCAACTTTCCTCCAGATTGCTTGCATGCTCCCATTAGGTACAGTAGCAGGTAGGTTTTCCCAGCTTTGGGTCTGGGGGAGGGGGGAAGTTAGGAGATGACAGAGAAGCCTTAGTTCCCAGCCCCAAAGAATTCCTTTGTTAATTGGTAACAGCTCTGGGCCCTTCTCTTTGGTTGGGGGATCCAGCCGAACAGGAAAGGGAAGAATGTTCTTTCAACTTCATCTCTCGCTTTGCTTTGGCTTATCATCCCAGATTCTCCTCAGTGCTCTCTTTTCTCACCAGGATCCCATAGCCTTTTAGGTAATAAATTGGGCCATTTCAAACATCTTACCAAAAAACCCTGGGAATCCCTCTCTTTACAAAGGCCAGGGGACTCATATCTGCCATGCCTCATGGAATAGGAGGGAGCGACCCCAGCATATTTGACCCTTAGCTGTATATCTGGATGATAAACCCAGAGAATCTTTTCTTTTGTTGTCATTAGGAAGACCTCCTGGCTTTCTGAAAGGGCTTTTCTGTGGCAGGCCAGGGCTGTGTCTAGTTGTGCCAGACCCTCCTCCTCTCCAGCATTGTATAGAAGTTGCCACCCACCATGCTAAATAACCCACTAACTCCATAGTTCTGCCTGGGAAGCATTTCTTTTTCCAATTACTTTCACATTCTCTCCTCACTGAAGTGTTTTAAGTGGAAAAATGGCAACTTCTACTCCCAGGATGAAAGTTGTCCTTTCTTCAGGCTGCTCCCCCTCCCAGCCCAGAAAGCTCTCCCTCCTCCCCGGTCTCTTGGATCCTTGAGCTGCCTTCAGGCTCTGCTGAAGCACCACCTCCTACAAGAGGCCTTTCCTGATTCCCTCAGTTACTCCCCCCACCCTGTCACTTTAGATTTCTTAGTATCATAAATTTAGAATCAGATGGGCCCTTAGAGATTATTGAGTCCAATCCTCTCATTTTACTAATGAGGAAACAGACCTTGAGAGACTTGTCTAGGGTCACATAGCTAGCAAGCGTCTAAGGTGGGATATGAACCCAGGTCCTCCTAATTCCATATCCAGTGTCCTATCCACTCTACCATGCTGCCTCTCATTTATGTTATATATTCTTTTTTTTTTTTGCTTTTTGGTGAGGCAATGAGGTTAAGTGACTGGCCCAGGGTCACACAGCTAGTTAAATGTCAAGTGTCTGAGGCCATATTTGAACTGATCCCAAGGCAGGAGCTCTATCCACTGCGCCACCTAGCTGCCCCTATGTTATATATTCTTTACTATTTACTTATTTATGTACATACTAATTACTTACATAACAATGGAATATGAGCTCTTTGGGATAATGACTTTTATTTCTGCCTTTAAATCCCCAGCACTTGGCATTTGGTACTTAACAAACTTATTAAATGAAATTGAATTCTAGACCTTTTCAGTAGTTTTCCCACATGCATGCATTCCTCCAATAAGGACAACTAGGTGGCACAGTGAATAGAGTACTGGGGCTGGAGTCAAAAAGACCTGTGTTCAAATCTATCCTCAGACACTTATTAGCTATGTGATTTTGGGCAAGTCACTTAACCCTGTTTGTCTCAGTTTCCTCATCTGTAAAATGCTGGAGAAGGAAATGGCAAACCACTCCAGTGTCTTTGCCAAGAAAACCCAAAAATGGGGTCGCAAAAGATTGGATATGACTGAAACAACTAAACAACAGCAATAGCCAGTCCTTGTCAACAATCTGGCTGCCCTCTTCTGAACTTGATTTTGAGGGCCTAGTGAAATAGGGTCACTTTTTACACTCATAGGATTTTAGAGTCAGAAAGGACCTTAGAGATTATCTAGTCTAACCTTTACAATTTATAGGTAAGAAAAATAAGCCCCAGAGAAATGAAAATGCCTTAGCCAAGGCCACACAGACTGAAAAATGACTGAACAACAACAGTTAGTTGTAAGCTATAAATTTTAATTATTTTATTATTATATCAAATAAATAATGTATAATAATACAATAACAAATAATACCATTATTTAATAAATTTATTAATAATTTAAGTTAATAATTAATTGTTTGTTGGTCTATTTAATAATTAGTATTTATTGAGTGATTATTTATATTAATTTAATAATTAAGTAATCCAAACAAGTACTACATGAGTTTAGGGGTGAGTGAGGTCCCTGGAGGTTAGAACATGCAGCAAGAGTTTGTTTCAAGGAGATGGGACTTGAGCCAGACCAGGTCTTGTCAATTCTTACTCCATGGTCCATCTCACATCCACTCACATGGGCAGTAGCCCGGTTCAGGCCCTCATCCACTCTGACCCTGAGGGAATGTTGCTGGTGGTGAGGTTTTCAACAAGTGGAGCTTTTGAGGGCCATTATTGCAGGCATAGGAGATGGTATGCATGGGCTTGAACAAAATGGAGGATAAGAAAGAGATTCATTAAGCAATCCAAAACCAAATAAATATCTGAGTACCTACTCTGTACTGGCAGCTTTGTACTAGCAGCCATAAGGAATATAAAGCAGAATCTTTCATGGGCCCTATCCTCCATGAGTTTATAGTCTAGCTGGGGAAAAGACATAGTAGAGGAGTCTGGAAGTTAACTCATGTCCTTCAAATCATGTCCTTGAAACTCTGCTATTGTTCACATTGTTTTGTTGTTCAGACTTTGTTTTTCTTAGCATCAGGGCATTTCCACTGATCTTTGAAGGATCCCTTAAGGATGCGTGATAGAACATGTCCCACACACACATTTCAGTGTAGGTGCAAAGATCATCTGAGAGCATCTTATTCATCATGATGGCTCCTTTAATTGGCTGTTGGGCTAGGACTCTGGGAATATAGTAAATGAGGCAATTCCTGCATCCCAAGAATTTTTTTCCAGGTATAACACTTGGCTCAAAGGGCCACTTGCATGGGACTCTCTTTCCATTGATGGAGACTGATTCCTCAATACCCTGTGCCTGTGTGTGAAGGACAGGTAGAGTTGGTGAGAGCTGGAGAGAAGAGAAATCTACTCTTTGGGGGCTTCTAGCTCCTAGAGAGAAGACACAGAGTTTAAATTTCTCTATAGGTTCCTGGAGGGAGAAAAAGACTCTTGGAAGAAGTTGAGGAGAGGAGCTGAAAATCTTCTTCATGTGCCAATCTCTAGCTTACTATACTAGAAATTTTGGCGAATTTACCCTTGAGTGACATCTGAGAATCTCTTGATTGAGTTGAGTTAGCTCACTCCTTAAGAGTGTATATTGTCGCTTTATTTATTTAACTTATATGCAGAACACATCCTGTGAAATGCCAGGCTGGAAGAATCAAAAGCCAAAATTGAGATTTCAGGGGGGGAAATATCAACAATATCAGATATGCAGATGATACCACTCTGATGACAGAAAGTGAAGAAGAATTAAGAAGCCTCTACATGAAGATGAAAGAGGGACGTGTACAAGCTGGCTTGAAGCTTAACAGCAAAAAAACTAAGATCTTGACAACTGATCCCACTGCTTCCTGGTAAATAGAGGGAGAAGAAATGGAAGCAGATTTTATATTCTTGGGCTC